TGGTCAAACCTAAAAACAATGCAAGTACATTAGCAGTGGGTTCAACACAGACAACAGATGAAAGCACGGCTAACATGGGTGTACAAACAGTGCCATCAGGTAAGATTAGTAAATATTTATCAATGGTGGACCAGGGATACTTTATAAACGAGGGGGATAGAGAAATGGGGCTTAACATTCACTCAACACAAACCAGGTCATTTTGGGACTAACATGTACAAAGGTTCTGGAGCCTTTAATTGATTACAGACTTGTGAATAAATGTCTAAATTATAGTTTGTATAACTTTTAAAACCAAAATAAAGACCTGCAATTACTAAGATTTAGCTCTTACACAATGTGTCTTTATTAACAATATTACCACTTGTAGTGTTAAGAGTAATTTGGAGCCACAGTGGCTAAGTGGTAAGACTGGAGGTTGCGTGTTCGATCCCTGCGTTGGTCGAGAAAGTTCATCGCGATTTTCCGACACGGTTTCCCCTTGTCAGTGGTGCAGGACGAAGGGCCTAACAAGGACAACTGTCAGTCATTCGCATGAGATGGAAAAGCGTGGTCCTGTGTATACATTGGCTGTTGGAATTTGATATAGCGCATGAGATGGAAAAGTGAGGTCCTGTGTATACATTGGCTGTTGGAATTTGATATAAAAGTGGCCCAAAGTGCCACTGCCCAGGCGAAATTTCTCTTATGGCACACTGTATAGTGTATGTCTGTCTCATTAGCCCAGTCGGAACAGTAGGACGTTAAACCCCATTTCATTACCATATAAGTAATTTTTTTATACAAATGTTTTGTAGAAATAACAACAGCTGTAGCATCACAAACAGCATCAACAGAAGATAGTGTAGCTATAGAAGATGTAACAGAAGATCCACTAGCACAAGAAGATCTGGAAGAAACAGATATACATAATACAGTTGAACCAGAATTAGATAGTTTAACTCAGGTAATTATTGAGAGAAAAAGTTAATTATTCATTAAGGTTTCTGATTGTCTTTTGAGGAATTTTGTATCTCTTGTAATATTGTGCAAGTTGAATATCTGAAAGGAATGCCAGTCTTCCATTTGGATGGGAGGAAAAAAACGAGGTCCCATGTACACATTGGTGTGCACGTAAAAGAATAGTAGACAGTTGGGATTCAAATTAAGAGTAGGCCATAGTGCCACTGTCCAGGCAAATTCCTCTCATGGCACAATGTCTGGCCATCTTCATTAGCCCAGTCAAAATGTTTGTTGTCTGTTGGTGGATATGAGCTACCGCCTGGAGAAAAACTACTGAATACTGTATTATATGGTAGGAGGTAGAATCTATTTTCTCGGGGAGGAAATCAGGAATGATAGAACATAAAAGTGAAGCATGCCGTAGATTCTGTCTTCATAGATGTATAATCGCACAATATTTCAGCAGAACTTTATCAGGTACATAACAAGTCAGAAATTAACCCAATATAACTTTATCTCTATCTCTTTACAGGCTGAAGCTGAATTAGAACAAGTACTTGATGAAATATTACGATCAGGTAATGAAGCAGAGGATGAAGTCATCGAAGAAATCTCCATGATTACAGGTTAGTCATAGATTCAAAGTTTTATTTTATTTCTTTTCGAAATTGGATTGGGTAACAGACAATATGTACAATAATTAATTTGATTTATGTACACACAGAACTTACAGCAAAAACATATACATATGCAAAATATAAAAACTAAACGTGCATGCATATATACAGTTCCGTAACTTTATATTACTATATCTTTTTTTATAATAATTTACGGATGTGCATTATTTATCTTCGCTATGATATAACTGTTATGGTGATCGTCTATAATGCTAAATAAAATGTGTCTCCCTACCAGGGGTTGGTTATTTTATATAATTACTGACCTGGGATATTTCAGCACAACAAGTAAATATTTTTCACGTCTTTAACATTTGTGGGTCACCTGCTAAACCTTGTGGGATTTCTCTAGGTCTACCGGATCCCTACCTCTGTTCAAAACCACTACACAAAATAAAATTCCCTTGGCAGTTGGAGTTTGATATAAGAGTAGGCCATAGTGCCACTGCCAGGGCAAAATTTCCCTCATAGCACACTGCCTGTCTTCATTAACCCAGTATAGGAGCAGAACATTAAGACGTTAAACCCCATTTCACTTCAAAATAAAATTATTGAGATAAAGATGTCTCAGTGAACTTTACCTGTCGCATTTCACCCTTGCCCATAGAATTGAAAATAATCATAATGTTAGTATTTAACGTGACAGGGTATTTCAAACCTTATTACACAGAACTTGTTTGTCACAAATTGACCAAAGTTTAGCGGGACATCCAGACCTGTTAAAATGTCTTTACTTTAAGCCTACCCAACTTCATGGGTTTTCTCCAGGTACTCCAGTTTCCTTCCACTACTCTAGACAAGTGAATTATCGAAATAAAAGTATACCATATGTTAGTCCCGAAATGTTCTAGTTTGTGTCAGGTGTACTCTGAGCTCTCTTTTGCTTTGGTTTAAGTACGTTTTATATTGTTATAGATGATGAACCACCTGCAGCAGCACAGACTGAAGAGAATCCTGATGTGATGATAAATGTAGAGATTATGACGGAAGACGATGAATTAGAAGATCATCATGATTCACAGATGGTAACACAAGATATATCAGATGGTGAAGATGAAACTATAGAACACGAGCGAGGTTAGTCAGTATTACACATAGTTAATAATCAACTCCCACAGTCAGTATAACTCATAGAGTAGACACAGTTGACAGTCAACTCCCACAGTCAGTATTACTCATAGACTCAGTTGACAGTCAACTCCCAGAATACTTGATTAATTCCTGGTGTTAAGTCCAGTAGTTAAACCAGTATACAGTTTAAAATCGACCCTAACGGTCATTGTTACACACAGAATAGACTCAGTTAAAAATCAGCTCTGATTATTTCCTGGCATTGTGCCATGATATAAAGATATAGAACAGCCTATTGTCGTATGTACGCTACAGATTCATTTTGATTATAATGGGGTAGGTATGTGATTATGCGGCTAGCTCACTAACAAGACCAGATAGGAAGTGTTGTGCTTGTTTCCAGCTAGCAGCATGAGAAAGTTCCTCAGGATTTTCCAGCATGATTTACCCTTGTCAGTGGTGTAAGACGGAGGGTCTGACAAGGACTGTTGTCTAGTAGTCCCCTGTAAACATTGTCGTGCACATAAAACTTGATGTAAGAGTAGGCAAAATTTCCCTCATAGCACACTGTATGGCATATTATGCCTGTCTTCATTAGCCCCGACCGAGAAGAACAGTAGGGTGATAAACCTCATTTCATTTTCATATATTAAGTTGCATTTGGTCATTTGGTGAAGTATAAAGATTGTTGTATATTAGGATTTGTTCAGAGGCAGTTTCTAGTTTGAAAATATGCTTGATCATTTCTTTGTTTACATTTGTGATTGATGCTCAGTTGTTAATTTATATATCAGAAATCTTGGCTATGTTAGATGATGACCGATCCAGTCAGTATACAGGTAGTTAAAAGTATTCTAAACACAAACTTATCTTTTATAAATATATAGTCAATACATTTTATATTCATTTACTTTTACTGGAAGGAAATATTTTGAACCGTATCGTTGTGATCTGAAAACTCGTTAAGTTATACTTGTAAACATTTGAAAAAGTTGCTAGAATTGTGATGACAACATTCATATTTTGGATGCTAAGATTTAAGGTTTCTAAATTGGTAGAGATATGATGGTTATGAAAAGTAAATAGATAAGAATTATTTGGCGGAATGAATTTTATTTTTGTTTTATTTCTGTAGATATATCATCTGATGAGAATACTAGTATTCATTCAGGTATTATTGTTATATTGATTGTGTATGATGGTGTAGGGTTGTTATAGCTATATTTCAACTGCCACCCCAACTGCCACCCCACCCCTCTTTCGTTATGATATAGGAACTTGTCAACAAATATCTACACTAGGGCTGCAACGATAAACTGTGAGACGGCATATCGCGGTATAAATGCCACGGTTCGGATCATGGTACTTAAAATTCTGTACCGCATGGTTCAGTAAATACGGTACAGATTGTCTGTTTTCTTCTGATACTCGACTTTTCATACAGAATTATCTCACCCTGTAGTTCATGAGACAAGGAGGAAAGATGGCTTTCAACATTGAAACATTTGCCTCCAGTGAAACACGAATATGGGAACATTTTGGATTAAAAATGCCAGATGGAAAACCCATGGCTAATAACTTGACGTGTCGCCGATAAATATCATCTACTTGTTTTTATTTTTTAAGTAAATTTTGAAAGCAAAAATACTGTGATGCGTATCGTGAGGTCCATACTGTGATCCGTGTTGTATCGTGAGGTTAGCATATCGTAGCAGTCCTAATTTTACAGGTATTTGTATCTGGATTGGTTTGTATCTTTCCTTGATATTTGTAATTGGAGATGATGTGGAATTTACAAGTCTGTCTTTTGATCACCTCAACCCATCCTCCTTCTTCAATCCCGACTCTGTTAAAATATTGAACCATGTGTCAATAAATATCTACAGGTTTGTCTATCTGGATCGGTCTTTCCCTTGCTTTCTTTATAATGATGTGGAAATATTATACATATATAAACATTATTTTAATAAACAATTTACATTGGATAAATACATTGGAAATATTTCAATTTTGTACAGTGCATGATTCTTGCTATGTACTAAGTAATAAATTTTACCTGTGTGTTGTACAATGGAATATTAATTTTACCTGTGTGTTGTACAATGGATTATTAATTTTACCTGGATTCTGGGGTCAGATCAAAGAGAGGAAATAGATGGTTGTTATTCTTAGGTTTTTACTATAGTGACTATTTCTTAATGATTTGTAAGATTTGAATTACTTGCGTAATTGATTCAGAATTAGATATCTTTACTTTTGATTTGAAGTTTTGAGTGAATATTTTAATAATTTTTAATGAAATGTTTTAAGATATGTCAGTTGGTGAGGAATCTAGGGGGTCTACAGGTAAGAGACAAGAGATAAATACAAATCTTATAAGTTGTCAGTTTGAGTTGATAGGTATGAATTCTCTGTTGAAAAATAGTATTTGTCATTGGGTTTTTTATATATCCATATTTAATGTTGACTTATCCCCTGTATCCGGCTGCCCATCCACAATTTCTTGTCAACACTCCAAATTTGCATCGATTATATATTTGGTCGGAGTTGACTTTGTATTTACTTTCATACTTTTGAAATCTTGTGAATGCAATATAGGAAAGAGTTTTAAAACTCTATGGGATTGTTTATTAGAGTATAAAAAATATCAAAACTTATTGTAATTTTTGTGGAGTTTGATTTCCAGTCGTATTTTGACTTGTGAAATCGATACAGACTAAAGTTCTCTGTGAAATTTTAAGAACTCAGTGAGGTTGTTCATTTAGTCTTGGGCGAGGTTGGATGGCCAAATGGTTAGCCTGTGCGTGTTGTATGATAAGGTCTGTCATTGAGTCAACTGGCATGGTTTTGATTCCCCGGTTGTACGTGACAAGGAATAAGGGCGCCTGTTTAACCTCGTTTTTTTCCGGTCCTTCGGTTTCCCCCCACTGCTAAAGACCCCTACGCACAAGCGAATTGTTGAAAAAAAATTAAACCATATGTTAGTCCTTGAAAGACCTAGTTTGTGTCTAGTGGAGGTTAAACCCCACTTGTTAAGATAAAGATTTATACAATGCTCTTGCCAGTATACAAAATATTTTGTATTTCCAGATATACATGAAGAGGACCACTCTAGTGCTTCTGATGATGATGATAATGATGACGATGATGATCGTGATAATGATGACGATGATGAACACGACCATGATGATGATGATGAAGATGAAGAAGAGGAGGATGATGAGGTAAATTCTATTTTAAAAATAGAAAAAGTATATTTACACACTGTCGTCATTTAATCACCAACATATATATATATATATATATCTTCTTTGATTGGCATTTAGTAATTGAACATATTAACACAAGGTACAATTTTTATACGCCCACATTTTCATGTGGACGTATTATGCCGTCGCCCTTGTCCGGCCGTCCGTCCACAATTGTTTGTGGACACTCTACAGGTCACAATTCTTATCCGATTTTGACGAAACTTGAAATATAGGTTTATCTCCAAAAGATCTTGGCTGCTTTCGATATTGGCATGTATCGGATCGAAATTTCATGGATTATGGCCACTGTTTGTACGAAAAATCACTATTTTAGCTTGTGGACACTATAGGGGTCACAATTTTTATCCGATTTTATTGTCCCCCGCCTTTCGAAGAAAGCAGGGGACTATTAAAATGGGTTCGTCCGTCTGTCTGTCCGTCTGTCTGTCCGTCTGTCTGTCTGTCTGTCCGTCCGTCTGTCTGTCCGTCACACTTTTTGGGACACAATAACTCTCTTCCTAATTGAGCTAGAATGTTCAAACTTGGTGTATGTGTTTATTAGGTCAATGCCTTGATGGAGTTCGAAGATGAGCATTTTCCGCTTAGGGTAAGCAGAGATAAGCAATTTGATTGGTTGATGCTTTGGGACACGATAACTCTCTTCCTAATTGGGCTAGAATGTTCAAACTTGGTGTATGTGTTGATTAGGTCAATGCCTTGATGGAGTTCGAAGATGAGCATTTTCCGCTTAGGGTAAGCAGAGATAAGCAATTTGATTGGTTGATGCTTTGGGACACGATAACTTTAGTTCTAATTAAGTGAGATTGATGAAACTTGGTGTATAGTCCATTACAGTAATACCTTGACTAAGTTTGATAATGAGCATTTTCTGCTCAGGGTAAGCAGAGCGATACGCAATTTGATTGGTCGAGACTTTGGAAAACAATAACTCTCCTACTTTGATTGTTAGACTATAAGTAAAGATATACTGTTTGATTGTTCAATACTTTGTAAAAGATAATTTGTGATAAATTTATATGTGTCCTCTAATTATTTTCCTATTTCGGCGGGGGACATCAGCCTCACTGTTGGCTTGTTGAAACTTAAAATGTAAGTTGATAACCCAAAGATCTCGGTTCCTATCGATATTCGCGTATATCGGACCGTAACTTCCTGAATTATGGCCCCTGATTGTACAAAAAATAACGTTTTTAGCTTGTGGACCCTATAGAGGTCATAATTTTTATCCGATTTAAAAAACCGTATTAATATATCACCATTATACCCTGAGGATGAATGAGTTCGAATTTCATGAAAATCGGCCCAAAATTGACAGACAAAATGGCCGCCGTTCGTTCTCAATTAGCGTAAAAATATGGTATATCCGATTTTGTTGAAACTTGAAATGTAAGTTTATAATCCAAAGATCTCGGTTCCTTTCGATATTCGTGCATATCGGACCATAACTTCCTGAATTATGGCCCCTGATTGTACGAAAAATCGCGTTTTTAGCTTGTGGACCCTATAGAGGTCATAATTTTTATCCGATTTAAAATACCGTATTAATATATCACCATTATAGAGGTCACAATTTTTATCCGATTTTGTTGAAACTTGAAATGTAAGTTTATAACCCAAAAATCTCGGTTTCTTTTGATATTCGCCCATATCGGACCGTAACTTCCTGAATTATGGCCCCTGATTGTACGAAAAATCGCGTTTTTAGCTTGTGGACCCTATAGAGGTCATAATTTTTATCCGATTTAAAAAACCGTATTAATATATCACCATTATACCCTGAGGATGAATGAGTTCGAATTTCATGAAAATCGGCCCAAAATTGACAGACAAAATGGCCGCCATTCGTTCTCAATTAGAGTAAAAATATGGTATATCAAGGTTGTGGACCCTATAGAGGTCACAATTTTTATCCGATTTTGTTGAAATTTTAAATGTAAGTTTATAATCCAAAGATCTCGGTTCCTTTCGATATTCGTGCATATCGGACCATAACTTCCTGAATTATGTCCCCTGATTGTACGAAAAATCGCTTTCTTTTTAGCTTGTTCTCTATCCATCTCTCAAAAATGTGGGCGTATCCTGCCTGGCAGCCGCTGGTATATATCGTCTGTGATTTGACCACACTGTGAACTGCATAAAAATGGAGCCGGTTACCTTTTAGATTTAAAAATTTAGGTCCACAGAAAGATCCATTTTGGGTTTCACTGACAACAGTTAATCCAAAATAGAAATTAGAATTAGTGAACCAATTGACTTCTGCTTAATATTTTGAAATGGGAATGGTACAAATTGTACACAGTATCTGGACCTAAAAGATTTACAATATTTAGAATGATTATAGATTTGAATAATATATTATAATTATAGGGTTCTGATATGGAAGCCGATGATGATGATTATCAAGATGTAGAGAATTCTGTAGCACCAGGTTTAGATGATGATTTCTTGATTCATATGGATGACATGTTTCCTTCAGGTACTCACTTCATTATATTGTCATGTTTCATCTATGGGTGGTCGAGTGGTGTAACACATTGGATCATAAGATCTGTCAAGTAGCGTGGCCTGCCCAGCCTTGTGGATTGTCTACTGGATCTCTGGTTTCCTCTATCTACTAAAATCTACTACGTGCAAACGAATTATTAAAATGAAATTGAACCATATGTTAGTCCTGAAATGACCCATTTCTGTTGAATGGACATTGAACCCCATTTTCTCTTTCATCTGTGAAAAAATTTCTACTGTATGTATTTATTATGGATTAAATAAAAAAAAAATGCTCAAAGCAAGTTTGATTCGACCGTTGGCTTTCTTCAGTTGCTTTTGATTTCTCATAACTTAATCTATGGCCAACAAATTATGTTTTATTATAGTAATAACTAATGGTAAATGCATGTATCATTTTAACACATTCTTCAATTTTGTAATTTTCATTTAATTAGGTAATGGAAATGGAAATCAACATATTATCTTTAATGATAATACACAGTTACGTACGTACCAGTTACCATCTCTAATGCATGATGCTGATAATGGTAATGAGGCTGCAGGTTAGTTCACTATTTTTAATCAGTTTATTTCTGAATATAGATATTGAGAAACCTGCAAAGCCTATGTAATATCACTTTCTGAATGGTTATTGGAAGACATGCAAAGCACGAGTAAAATCACTTAATATGTATTGGGAAGCCATGCTAAGCCTAAGTAAAACCACTATGCATTCAGAATTATTATTCCATTATGGATTAAACAATCTGAAAATATAATCTTTACTTTTATACTAAATTAAAAATCTTTAAAATATTGCAATTAGAAATATTAAAAAACTGTAATTTGTAAAATTTTCAATTTAAAGAATGTGAGGGAATTGAAAAAATCTGTCCTTCTAATCGCTCACAAGGGCGTTTTCTTTTTTTTCCTTTTCACAATTGCGCATAACAAAAAATGACCGACAAGTAAGGATATGTAATAGATATGCATATTCCTCTTATGAAATCATTTATATTTTGGATATGATGTGTAGAGTATGCATATCGATAACATATCCCTGTTTTTCAGTGACTTTTTTGTAATACTTTGGACGCTATTGACCAAAATACACTCGTCTGTGATTAGTAGGACCTGAAAAAAGTATCCAATTTGTTGTTGAAGGATAAATAATAATAATAATAATAAGTCTATTTATATCGTGCTGATTCCACATATAGTCGTGCTCATAGCGCTTGTTTACAATTATTTTATTGCAGTTCCATCTTTACCACCAGCACCAGGTAATGTTCCATCAGCTCATCCTCTGTTAATTCGAAACGCGGACGCTGCTAGTATGATGAGTGTGGCTAGAGTACATCGGGGTAATAGACAGAGAGGATCGTACAGATTTAACGCTAATACACAGACGTTACACGTTAATCTACCATCTGGTACTACACGACAACCCAATCCTCCGGTTATATTACAAAGGTTTGTAAAACATTTCTTCTTGGTCACTGTCATTTCTTGTAGGGTGTAACAATGGTTTGGTTAGTATAGCTAACCAGGAAGTCAGAGGTTCAATCCTGTTGTAGACAGAGAGTGAGTGCCTCATGATTTACCAGTCTGGTAGGAGGGTGGGTTGGCAACAAAAAGTATCTAGTTCTTTGGATGGTATGAACAAAATTAGAAGTCGTGAATACTATTGTCTGGAAATAAAGAGTAGACTGAAAAGCCGCTGACCAAACCAAATTTTCCCCAAAGTCCATTGAATTATGTCTGTCTACAATAACCTGGCTGTTACAGAAACGTTAGACATTCAACCCCATTACATGATTTCACATTTACGGTGTTAGAAGGCTGTCTAGGTGGTGGCTAATAAATCTAATGAGACATATATAAATAGGTGCCTTGTTAAAGATACTATGACATGTTATAATTAAAAGAGTAAGCTGCTAGATTGCTGTATAAGTAAACTTGTTTGATTTTATTTCACTTCATCAGATGATTGAAGTGTCACACTGTTACTCTTTAGAATGTGTAAACTTTGCATGTGTAAACTATATTTTCATAAACACAGGATATAATTTCACCAGTTTATTTGAGCTATTATCAATTAGAATTGGTAGACTTGTCAGTCTTTACTTGTATCCTCAAGCTGATTACAATACAGATCTATATTTCATTTTGTTGTTTTATACTTCCGATGGCCTACACTACATGAAGATCTGACCGGTTGTATTAGAAGGTCGCGTGAGAGGTCGTATGGGCGGCCTTTGACCCTATGATGTCAGACAATGATTAATCAATCAGCGTTGACATTTCTAGTGGTTTACCCACAGTTCTGTGCATCACTTGCAGTGACAGACCGTTTCATTGGCTAATCCCTCACTTTAACCAGGATGCCAGTAATATAACAACTCTTCCAGATCCTAGTGTAGTAAAAACATGTAAATTGAAAAATGAAATAAGATCTGTATTTTAATCAGATTGTTGTATCCTAAATTCAGAATATAATTTGACCCAATTTATTTATGTAGGTTATTGGGTCCAACAACAGCTGCTGATATTTTACAACTAACTAATACATTAACTACTCAATCTAGTGGACCAACACATACTAGAGTTGTATTAGCAAATGATGATAGATGTATTATATCAAGACCAGAAGAAGATATCTTTGATGAACTCTTCCAGGTAAAGATCTTAGTAATATTATTAAGTGTTTGTCTGTCAAATCCTGTGAATATGAGTGGAGTGAACCGACCCCTCACCTTCACCTTCCTGATGTCTGCGGTGGCTAAGACTCTGACATGCTAGTCTAGAGGTCACGTGTTCAATTCCTGCATTGGTCGCAAAAGTTCGTTGGGATTACTTCCAGAGTTGAGACCCTTGTTTCAATTTGTAGAAAGTTCTTCCAGGTTTTCCGGCGTGGTTTCCCCTTGTCAGTGATGCAGGATGGAGGGCCTGACACGGCCAGCTGTCTATTCGTTTGGACAGGACGAAAAACCGAGGTCTAGTGTAGAAATCCGCGTGCACGTAAAAGATCCCTTGTCATTTGGAATTCGATATAAGAGTAGGCCATAGTGCCACTGCCCGGGCAAAATTTCCCTCGTAGCACACTGTATGGCGTATGGCAGTCTTCATTAGCCAATTATAGGAGCAGAACAGTAGGACGTTAAATATGATTTCATTTGATTTCCTGATTTCTGCATGGTTTTCTCATGGACTGGCACTTAGTTTATAAAAAAACCTCAAAACCAGTTTTAAAACATACTATGGTAATCTACAAACCTATTTAATCTTATAAACTTCCACATGGCAAATACAACGTCTGAAATCTGTAATTCCTGAATTGGTTGCCCATAAAAATATCATTTGTTTGCGGTATAAAGTGACGAGATAAAGGATGAGCATTTTTAAACTGTTAGAATTTCTTAATTAAAATGCATGGTTAACTATTTGTATGGTTAAGAGCTGATAAATGATGACAAATTATATTTCGTCATATCACTTCCGGTCATAAATGAGAGTGTAGCACGTGCCGCAGATTGTCATTGTAGCGTTTACACTTGAACGAAGAAGACGTGGTCTTCTATTTGCCGCACTAAGTCTTTTCTCAGTTGTTCAAGGCTTTATACTAAGTCATTTATTTGTTTTTTGTCTGCCGCATTGATTTTCTTTCTTGAAAGAAATAAATATTTTTTCTTTTACGACTATCGTAAACTTGCACGAGTCGCGGACTCGTTTGTGGCAAGATGGCGGACGACAAACAGAAAAAGAACTTGAGAAGCTCGTCGGTTGGTAAAGTTGATTTGGGATGGGAAGATTTAAACCCAGCCTTATTAGAGGATAGTACCGATGTTTATACGGAATTTTCTACCCAAAAATCTAAGGAGAAATGTGATAAAACTCCGGTAATGGCGAGTCAGCTGACGAAGTCAAAAATCGCCTCGACTTTAGCTTCACCTTTACCGTCAACTTCTGGTTCTAAACTGCACGCTGGTCAGAGAAGCAGTAAAAAATCTTCAAGAGATTCATCGACTCATTCGACCGGCAATACTGAAATAATAAAAATTCTGAAAGACATTCAGGAAAAACAAGGAGAACAAGCCGCCAGACTTGTTACCTTAGAAAATCAATCATATTATGATGAAGAAGAATATGATGAGCAATATGAACTTGAAACTGACGAGGAATCTTATATTGATCCTAGCCAAAACCATCCTGGCCATAAACGGAAATTAGGTCCGTCACCCTCAAAGGATGATTATGGTGGTGATACCGAGAATAGGTTTTCATTAATGTCAAAACGTTTCAAACCGTCTGACTCTGTCGTTGACAAAAATGTTGATGTAGTACTGGCTAATAATGTAAATGAACTTTTCAAAAATGGTATGAGTGAGGACCAGTACAATGCTCTAACTAAGGATGAAGTTACAGCCCGTCCGAAAAATTGTGATGGTTTGGTACTGGTAAAAACAAACCAATTAGTATGGGACATTATGACACCAGAATCGAGGAGTTCTGATCGGAAAATGCAGGCCATTGAAAGTTCGGTTATCAAGTCTGCCATCATATTGAGTAAAGCAGTAGATTCTCTTGCAGATCTAGCCGATACTTCTAACTTGCCGAGTACAGCCATACCAGATATTATAGATAAACTGAACGACAGTTTAGCCCTTTTGGGTCACTCAAACCGTCAAATCAACCTTACTAGAAGGGACTTCATAAAGGCTGATCTACGCCCAGAATTTTCGCACTTGTGTGCACAGTCACAGCCTTTCACCACTTTTTTATTTGGAGATGATGTGCCTAAGTTAGCCAAAGAAATAGCCGACTGCAGTCGCATTGGCCAGAAATTACAGAACTATCCCCAAAGAAGTTCATTTTCAAGAGGTAGACCCTGGAGAGGTAGATCTAGAGGGCGATATGGAAGAGGCAGAGGTCGTGCCATGTATCCACAAGCACAAGCTAATGTCAAGTACTCTACAAAAAACTACAGGCGGGGCAGTATGCCCCAGAATCTGAGAAGCAAAAGTCAATAGACTCAACTAATAAGGTGAGTTTCTCGGCAGGGCGCTTGAAATATTTTTCCTCGGCATGGAAGGAAATAACTTCTGACCCTCATGTTCTAGATATAGTAAAACACTGTCACATTGAATTTATAGATGGGATCTCTCCAAATCAACATAACTTTAAATTTGAACCTAAATTTAACACTCGAGAGAGTGAAGCTATTGAATCAGAAATTTCTAATATGGTCAAAACTAAGGTTCTTATTGAGGTAACCCCTCAGTCAAATCAATTTCTTTCGCCAATTTTTGTAAGGCCTAAGAAAGATGGAGAGTTTCGCATGATTTTGAACTTAAAGAAACTCAATGAGTTTGTACCTTATCGCCATTTTAAAATGGATACATTCGAATCTACCCTTAACTTGGTCTCAAAAGATTGTTTTATGAGCACGATTGACATCCGACACGCATACTATTCTGTCAGTATAGCTGAGGAAGATCAGAGATATTTTCGTTTCCTATGGGGGGGGAAAATATTTCAGTATACATGCTTGCCAAATGGTTATTCTCTGGCGCCCCTACTATTTACTAAGCTTATGAAACCAGTTTATTCGTCGCTTAGAAACGCAGGCATTCTGTGCTCAGGATATATTGACGATAGTCTTTTGTTAGCAGAATCTGAAAATGAATGTAACCACAGTGTACAGACCACTGTTAATTTGGTAGAAAAGTTAGGTTTTATGGTTCATCCAAACAAGAGTGTTTTTCAACCATCAAAACAAGTTACGTTTCTAGGTAATGTGATTGATTCTAGTAGTATGACTGTTTTTCTTCCAGAGAACAAGAAAGCTTACATTGCAGATGAGTGTTTAAGAATTTCAAAGAAAGTTAAAGTTACTATTCGTGATTTGGCTCATGTTATTGGTCTTATCATATCAAGTTTTTCGGCCGTAGAATACGGGCCATTATTTTATCGAATTTTGGAGTCGAGTAAGGTACAGGCTCTAAGGGAAAAGCAAGGTAACTTTGATAATTTTGTTCTTATCACACATGATATGCAGTCTGAACTTGCTTGGTGGTATACAAATATACATAGTCAGATACGCCATATCTCGCATGGAAATCCAAATATCACAATAACAACAGACTCTTCCCTCCAAGGATGGGGAGCTGTTTTGGAATCTGTTGCTAAAACAGGGGGACAATGGACATGTTCAGAGAAACAGAATCATATCAATTATCTAGAAATGTTGGCTGTTTTATTTGCCCTAAAATCGTTTAAAACTCATTTGCAGCCGTTTATGCATGTGAAGATCTTGTGTGATAACACAACAGCAGTCAGCTATATCAACAATATGGGTGGCATGAAGTCTGCATCTTGTAACTTGGCAGCTAGGAAAATATGGTTTTGGTGTATAGACCATAATTTGTGGATTTCTGCCTCTCATATTGCAGGAAAATCAAACACTGATGCTGATCTCTGCTCAAGGGTTTTCAATGACCGCACTGAATGGAAATTGAAGCCATCAATATTTCAATCTATATGTCAAAAATTTGGCACTCCAACAATTGATCTCTTTGCTTCAAGGCTCAATAAACAAGTGTCTTGTTTTGCATCTTGGAGTCCAGACCCAGAATCTTTATTCGTGGATTCATTTACAGTTGATTGGAATCAATTTGAGTGTGTATATATTTTTCCTCCTTTCAGCCTATTGGGACGCTGTATCAAGAAGATACGAGAGGACAAAGCTACAGGCATAGTTATTGCCCCTCTATGGCCAACCCAAGTTTGGTTTGTCCATCTAATGGAACTACTTATTCATCCACCTCTACTGATTCCGAAAATGAAAGACTTGCTGACATTGACACACAAATAGAATCAGAGCCATCCTCTTCGACGAAAGTTGGTATTGATCGCTTGCCATGTCTCCGGAAATCATATAAAGAACAAGGTCTTTCTGAACAGTCTACAAGAATTCTCCTGGCTTCCTGGAAAACTGGGACTAAAAAACAATATTCCGTGTTCATTAAGAGATGGATACAATACTGTGGTAAAAAGAAGATTAGTATCATTCAATCATCTATAGCAGATGTTACAAGTTTTCTCACAGAACTTTTTGAAACTGGGTTAAGTTATAGCTCCCTAAACACAGCAAGGTCCGCATTATCAGCGATGGGAATCATTATTCAAGGACATTCTGTTGGAACTCATCCAGTTATATCAAAATTTATGAGGGGTGTGTTTAATTTGAGACCCTCGAAACCGCGACATATGGTGACATGGGATGTAGGTAAAGTTTTGCTTTACTTGAAGAAGCTTTCGCCAGTGAAGGACTTGAGTTTGAAAGACTTAACTCTGAAACTTACAATGCTAATTGCACTGACAAATGTGTTACGAGTACATGCTATTCATCTTTTATCTATAAAGAATATGGTTAAAACTAAATGTGAATTTTCTTTTGAACTCAGTGGTTTACAAAAACAGAGCAGACCATGTGCTAGTGTTAAATGTGTGTCAATGAAAGCTTACCCTCCAGATAGGAGGTTGTGTGTATATACTGCCATGAAAGAATATTTACAAAGAACAGTAGATATTCGTAAAAACGAGTTTTCATTATTTTTGAGCTTTATTAAACCCCATAAAAAAGTGTCCCGGGACACAGTGTCTAGATGGATTAAAACTGTGATGGAACGTTCTGATATAGACACCAATGTTTATGGTTCACATACAGTGAGGTCAGCCGTATGTTCTAAGGCTCATAAAAACTCTGTTCCTATTCAGGATATTCTGCATGCTGGTGGCTGGAGCAATGCAGGAACTTTTTTCAAATTTTATAAGAAGGATATAATATCTACTGCAAATTCTAGATTTGTGGATACAGTACTCAAAGAATAAACTAAAATTGCCAATCTTATTGTTTCTTTGTTACTATATGTATGTAATATGCCAAATATAAAGATTTCACCAGCTTTGAAGTCTCATTTATGACCGGAAGTGATATGACGAAATATAATTTGAAAAATTGACGAGACTTACCTTGGTACAGTTGAAGTCAATTTTAAATTATGTGAGTCATAGGACTCACTGTAGGGATTAAATGCCTCCCGCCCATCCCTACAATTTTGCCAGCTTGTGTAAGCTGTGCACATACAAGTTTATTTCATGATAAAATGGAATCCGAATCTACTATAAATAAAAAAAAAAAAAAAAAAAAAAATTTGTTCAATCTTATATATTTTTGTTACTTTAAAGACTGACAATCTGCGGCACGTGCTACACTCTCATTTAATCCCTACAGTGAGTCCTATGACTCACATAATTTAAAATTGACTTCAACTGTACCAAGGTAAGTCTCGTCAATTTTTCAAATTATTGCATGAAATCCATGTATGGTATATTAAAGTCATTTTGTTTGTAGGATCCATATCCTGAAAGTGGAGCAGCTGGTACAGGGGTTTTATCGTGTATACCCTCTACGTTGACAAGATGGACGGAAGAAACTAAAGTTTTAGATGCTGATAGTGTTCACGATTGTGTTAATGGTAAGATTCGTTATTATTCACCAAATTAAATGTCTAAGGCGTTCCGTATTCTTCATAGAGGTCACAATTTTCATCTGTTTCATTGAAACGCATTTAATATGCGCGCATATCAGATCATAATTTCCTCATTATGGCCCCTGATTGTACGGAAAATCGTGTTTTTAGCTTGAGGTTCTTCTAGAGGTCACAACTTTTATCCTAAAAAATACAAAAAAGTTCTATTACACTTACACCATAATGTTGGTTGAGTTCCAATTTCGTGCAAGTCGGACCAAAACTGCCCACAAAATTGCCGCCACTTGTACTCAAATAGTATAATACCAAGATTGTGGACACTCTAGAGGTCACAATTTTTATTTGATTTTGATGAATCGTGAAAGGGATGTTTATGAGCCAAAGATCTTGGTTCCTTTCACACATATCAGACCATAACTTCCTGGATTATCACCCCTGATTGTACGAAAAATCACTGCTTTTATTATTATTATTATTATTATGTGGGCGTATCTTACCTGGCAACTGCTGGTTATACTTAACAAGGAGTTAAAAAAAAAAAAAACCTAAAGTCTGATGGTTGGGTCCGTGTTCTCTCCATTTAGCCCTCATAGCACCGCTGTGTATGGCATATGACTGTCTTCCTTAGCACATTCGATGCAGAAAAGACGTTAAATCACATGTATCTTTCGTGTTAAAACCTATAAATAATTTACATTGATGTTAGATTTTTGTGTGTCTATGTTATATTTGTATGCGTTTGATTTATATTTGTAGTATTGAAGCCTGGTATTATAGACAACCTGGTCAAACATAGAGATGATGAACTATCTGAAAGAAGAGAAGTAAGACATAAAACTGCAGAAGAGGAAGCTGCTAAAAAAGAGAAAGAAAAACAGGAAAAACAAAATGATGTAAATGCACCTGCATCTGAGGTATGATCATTTACATGTGAAGCCATTTATTGATGTGAGAAATATTTGAAGAATATATAAACTATATCCTAACAGCTGTATATTTGCTGAGTGTGGTCCTGGTTGACTAACTAGGTGCCGTACACATGGCCAGGCGATAACTGATCGGATGGGGTGAAAAACCAAATTTCTGTGTATGTAATTTGCAGCATGTTAAAGATACCCTGTCAGTTGTAATTCAAAATATATCTTGTTATATTTTCCATATAGCACAACCTGTAAATCTTCATTAGTCCTGTCCGTGCAGAAAATTAAGAAATGAAATGAAATGGGGTTTAACATCCTACTGTTCTGCTGCTATACTGGGATAACGAAGAGGGGCATACACCATGTAGTGTGCTATGAGGGAAATTTTGCCCGGACAGCGGCACTATGGCCTACTCTTATATCAAATTCCAACTGCCAAGGGATCTTTTACGTGCACCCCAGTGTAGGCTATACACAGGACCTCTGTTTTTCGTCATCCGAATGACTAGACAGAAAATGAAGACATTGAACCCCACTCCTAATTGATATGTTTTTATTATTTACAGGCTAGTAGTACTATTATTAGTAGAGGTGAAACAAGTGGTAGTACTGTAGATATAGGTGGTGGTGTATCAACAGTAGCTGGTGTAACACATCCACCATCAATAACATCAACACCAAGACCACCAGTATCAGCTGTTGATAATACTGGTACACAGATCAGTAAGTAGTTTGGCAAATGCCTCAAGTTTGAATGTTGATACAGGTTGAGAATAAACTGATTATCAGGGGTCCTGCCATGAATTAATTTATTTAGGTTCAAAATATATGGGTGTGAGATGATATCTGGGTCAATTTGTACATGCTTGGTTGTCTGAATTTCTTGTATTGACTCGATTGAACTTTGCAGAATTGAATTCTCTCACTCTTTAGAAAAGTGTTAATTGAGAGAGAATTTTGGACCACAAGGTATGCACAAATTGAATATATTATCTCTGCCTATCGCCATAGCTGAAACGTTAGTTTTAATCAAGACAGCTTAATGCTACAACTGTTTTCAGAATTGGCCGAATTGTGACCCCACTGCAATTTCACTGTTAAGAATGTTATAAATCTGTATAATACCAATGACTGTTGTTTATTTGTAGGTGTAAGTGAAGCTGTAGCAGCAGTAGAAAGATTAGCATCAGTTGTTGTGGAAGAAGTTTTAGCATCACCAATACCAACAACAACTGTAACAATGTCTGTTCAAACCCCAGCTTTATCTAGTATAACTGGTACCTTTACAACACCAGTTACTACTACTACTACCACAGTTTCTAGTGACACAACACAATCAACAGTACCTAGAACAATAGATAACTTTGTTACACCATTAATGTTGCAAGGTCCTCCTGTTATTATGCCAGCAGCTCCTAGAAGGTAACATATGTTTTCTTTAGTTTTGCACATTTCAGTTATTTATGTAGTAAGTATAGTATATTTATGTACTAAATATAGTATATATAATTGTTATAATACTAGAACACTTAGTATAAGTTTCAACTAGATCTCACAAGTCGTTTTTGTGCAAATACCTAATATACAAAATGATTGTGTCGTTACTAAGTATTCCATTATTATATAGTATATTTATGGATGAGGAACTTGGCACCAAGCGCTACTCATTTTATTTTTGTTCAGCCAATTGAAGTATGATTTTCAATAAACTTGGCATACTTGTTCCTTTGGCAATTGCGCATAGATTTACTGACTTGAATTTTTATGTCATAATCCAAGATGGCGGTAATAAACCATGCTTGGTTCCTAGTCCATAGTATGTGTGTACATGTGATTAATCAATATATATTTGTGAACTAAACAATATATATTTGTGAACTTCCCTTTATTAATCTCGATTAGTGCTCACACGTTTGTTTGAATAGTTTTTAAGTGCTGTACGATGAACCAAATCATTGGAAAGAAAAAAAAAAGTATTAAATGAATTGATTAGAACATGACATAGCATTGGATAGCTTTATCTGTTTGAGATGAGTATGATGTTATATTATCTGTTTGAGATGATTGTTAAATGAGTATGATGTTATATTAGTAGAAATGAAGCACCAACTGGAAATCAAACCAATTTAGCTTATCTGTTGTCATTTGATGATGATGCACCGCCAAATTCACATGCTGAAGACTCTTTACTGGGAGATAACTCTGCTTCTCCTGCATTGGGTAAGGATATTAAATCTAAAATTACCAGTACAATTTGACTCTTGCAAAAAAAAAAGGGGGGGGGGTGTGGATGAGAAAGCGATAGTTATTTCATCTCTTCTGTACATCAGGTTAAAAACTTTCTGAAACAAGTTACTGGGTAACAATGTTGCATGCACGTAAAAAGAAAAGGTGACAGTATTAAATCGACGAAAATAGTTTTGGAAACACAGCTGTCTGCAGGGATGCGTATTGAGGCCCCTGACAAGCCCTGGTCAATATTTATGGGAACCCTTTTGTTGACTGGTTTATTATTGTAGATTAAGGATCACTGCTACATGGTTTCTTTTGATAACAATCATACTGTGTTTAGTGTTTATAATTATATATTGTTGGGGGGGAGGGGGGTGATGGCCGAATGGTCAGCGCAAGCACGTTGTACCATAAGGTCTGTCCTTCAGTCAACTGGCGTGGTTTCGAGTCCTCAGTTGTACGTGACGAGGAGTAGTGTCACCTGTCCAACCTCATGGGTTGTCAGATTTCCTCTTGTTTATAAATATATATCTATCTCTTGTTTTTTTCTTTTACAGCTAGTAGTACAGCGGCAGCATCTAGTTCTTCATCTACTGAACAACTTGGGTAAGTTATCTATATTTGAATTACATATTGATATTAATCTTCATTAATGAAACCCTGGACATATATTTGATATAATTTATGTATATTAAAAATGTAATCATCAGGTTTGTTTATCAAAATAAGGAAAAAGATGACCTAATAAGGATATAGGTAATGGACTCTTAGATTTAAAGATGGGTTCCCGCGTACAAACTGGGTGATTAAATGGTATATATGGAATAAAAATTTGTCATAACTTTGCTTCAATTCCTTCTCAAACATTGTAATTGCGAAGGAATGTCCTGCTATAAAAATTCGATCAAACCAGGTCATGTTTACGTCACGTGACTTACCTCTCTTGGAAGTCAGAGGAGAATTCATTGCATACATAAGACGATGTTGTCTTTTATCGCTTACTATTGATTACAAATATCGAATCCTAATTAAATTCTCGGATTATCCACTACCCGTATCTTTTTCCGTCATTTTTATCTCAAAGTGTTGTACGTCTAACTCTTCATAAAGTTTATCAACTTGTACATCAAGCGCTCAATGTTCTCGTGTGACCTTTGACATCACGCGTGCAGAAATTCCTAATCGTCGATTACGGGAAACCTTACATTTTTTTCCTGTATACGCTTCATGAGTGTTTTTCGGGGAATCCAGTATTTTTCTAGTAAAATTGGATATCTCTACTTTTCATATATACCAAAATTACCCTACTTTTATTGGAAATAACCACCCGATAAATACTTTTCTGGGAACCCATCTTTAAAGGTCTGATGCACTGTATTAATGGATTGTAAACAATTATCAAAATAATTGTCTGGATTAATTTGATTTATGGGACGATGGTCGTCCAGTGGTAAATTATGGTTTTGATAATTTCAGTTTGACATCTATAACTGGTACAGCAGGTAGACCAATACCTTCATCTACTATTCATTCTACTACAAACATTCCTAGTTCTGGTACATCTAGCTCTGATCCTAATCTTCCTGATGGAGTTGATCCATCTTTCCTAGCAGCCCTACCTGAAAATATCCGTCAAGAAGTCATAGCTGAACAACTACGCCTGCAGAGAATACAACAAAGGGCACAACAGCAAGCCCAAGCTGCTGAAAGTACTGGTACCATGGAGGTTAATCCTGAGTTTTTAGCTGCTTTACCTCCTGCTATACAAGAAGAGGCAAGTTTTAACTCAATCTAGTTCCTTGATGTTTCTTAAATTGTCTGTTAGAATATTTAATTGTTGCAGTCGATTGGTAAATAATTATTTGTGATTTGTTTGGAATTTGCAGTTGATTGTCTTTGAAATAAGTTCTTGTGGCACAATTTGTTGTTTAATTGTGAATCATTCAGACTTAGACTTTTACTTCATGCTGATTATAAAGTATCTTTATGGCCTCAGGATTTCCATTCTGGTTGACCCATGTTGACTGGTTCATGAAAGACAGCTAGTCATTCGGATGTTGCAAAACAGACATCATATGTACCATCGGCAGCATATTAAAGATCCCCTAATAGACTGTAATTGAAATAGAGAGTAGGCCACATCTGCTGACTCTGCAAAACTTCCCTCATAGCACACTAGACAGTAATTGAAATAGAGAGTAGGCCACAGAGCTGCTGACTCTGCAAATCTTCCCACATAGCACACTACATGGCATATCGTCGTCTACATTAGTGCAGTTGGTGCAGAAAAGTTCAATCTTACAGCCCATTTCATTTCCCTTATTTAGTTGAACTTCATGCTGAATATGTTGTAATATTCTGTTTATTCAATTCTTCAGGTTTTGGCACAACAGAGGGCTGAACAAGCTCGAGCAGCAGCTCAAACACAATCTCAAACTAATCCAGATACACCCATTGACCCAGCAGGATTCTTCGCTACTTTACCTTCTCAATTACGACAACAAGTTCTATCTGACATGGATGAAAGTATGATAGCTGTATTACCAACTGATTTGGCTGCGGAGGCACAAGAACTGAGAAGAGAATTGGAAGACCGACATCGTAGATTGATGCAAGAGAGATTATTCGCGCAAGCGGGTGCTGCTTCGTTGTCTGCTATATTACGACATACAGGTTTAGAAATAATTATCTCTAGGGTTGCAATGATTCCTATGGTCTTGATTCCTTACATATTGAAATATTTTGATCGTTTATTATAATAAATGATAATTGATTTTGTTAAAACTCAATGCTGCTAATCGTCATTTGTTTTGTTCAGATAATATCTGATTTTTTCAAAGCTTAATCTACTTAAAATGCACTCAAATTGATTATTTAACTTTTAATTGAAGCAACAATATTCATCTTATCAAAACTACAAACAGTAATAACTTGGCTCAGAATAAAGCAATTTATATGAAATTTTCAATATATTCATTTTGCATTATTTATTTTTGAACTAAGTTCTTAATCTAATTCTTAAATAATGTATCTTGACAACAAAAGCAAGATAATGTCGCGGCTTGGATTAGATCACATTAAAAAAGACCCATCAAATGATTTCACCTAACACTTATAGGTGGCACCAGCTTGTTTATATATCGTATCTAGAAGAAGCCGAACATTGCTGAACAGAATAGAACCAGCTTTCACAATGTAATTTTCAAGTATTCAGAATCCCCCAAATGACGATCAGCAGGTTTACTTCACGAAATTATTGAAGTTGACAGTGAAAGCTTTGGCTAATTTGACATCTATGCCATGAAATGATTTAAAAGAGAACTAACATAATTTATTATTTTTTTTTATCTTTCTTTAAGATATGGCTATTGGCGAATCTTGATTGTTGGTTACATCATTGCAACCCAATTTAAGGTGGCCCTGTGTATAATTTGTAATCCCTATTTCTGTTTAAAAATGGTATTGAGTAATATTTAAAATTTGTAATTTTATAGTTGCTTGCCCTTCTCTTTTATGCCCAGATGTTATAATCGACTAAATTAAAACACTTTATTCAATTCTCTCACAAATTGAGCTTGATTTAGTTAATTTATGTTTATACAAGAAAAAGCTTATTGAATACTTCTGTTTATTTCAGGATTAGCTGGACGTTTAGGAACTAGATATGCTATTAGAGCTGCACCTAGAGGTGGTAATCAGTGGGCCTGGGGATCAGGAAGGATGTCTCAACAAAACAGCGCCAATGCCAACAATATGAAAGTGAAGGGACGACATCTTTTGGATCACGAGTCACTGACTTGTTTATTAGTTTTGTTGTTTTTGGATGAACCCAAGTTGAACACCAATAGATTACATCGTGTTTTAAGAAACTTGTGCTATCATGGACCAACTAGAGCGTGGGTTATACGGGCGCTTCTCTCTATCTTACAGAAAACTAGTGATTGTAAGATGGATAATGATGAAAAAGGTAAAACACCGGAAAAAAATAAACTGAAAAAATTATCAGCCATGCAAACTGACTCTCCTTCCGTCAGTCGGAGTGAAAGGAATCAAATTTCATGGTTGAACATAAGTCAGGAGGCTGCTCTCGGTTGTCGAGCAAACGTCTTTCAGATTCAACGAACTGGTAAAAAACACACCAATTCTTCTAATGCTTTTGTTTCTATACATTCTCAAGCTGCACCGGTTGTTTGTCGTCATGTGTTAGATACTCTCATATCTCTTGCTAAAATATTCCCAGGACAGTTCCTGCCATCTTCAAGTGCTAATAATTCGCGATTGAAAGACCTACAGAAATGTGATGAGGAAAAAGACTCTGAATCTAAATCCAAACAAAGTGGATCAAGTGGTAGTGGTGGGGCTGTTAGTCCCAGATTGTCACGATCGGAAAAAGGTGATAAATCCGACAGCAAGTCTGAGACTGATTTTTGGGACTTATTGGTGCGTCTTGATAGTGCTTGTGGTAAACGGGGTAAAGGTATGCCAAGAACTCATTCGAACTCGTGTTCTGAAGTAGAGGTGCTTAGTACAAGTTATAACACATCTCCTATTGGTCAGCTGATGGCTTTCCTATCTCATTCTGTGATACGTCGTAGTCAATTATTGACGGATCGATTGCTACGTCTCTTAGGTTTAGTGTCCATAGGTCTTCCAGAATCTGCTCGTAATAGGTCTAGTGGAGTCATCTCCATGACGACTGTCTCTAATTCAGCAACTGCCATGGCAACCACTCCAGCTATTGTAACAAGAACTGGTCCAGCTGTATCTGCTCCCCTACCTACTGAGATAAAAACAGGTGAGATTTAAACAAAAGTTGTTTCTATCATAGAAGTTTTGCGTTATATTTCAAAGAAGGTAAAGCTCTATCTCAATATTATCCTGATTCTTCGACAATACAAACGCAAATTATTGGTCTATTCCAAACAATACTGATATCTTTCTGTGAAAATATGGGCTCCATACATTATTTAAGACATATTACACAATTTTAAAACTCTGTGTAAGCAAACTGTGAAACCATACTTATGAAGTAGACTGTATTAACCAAGCGCAAGCGACTGCCATTCAATCTGGACAGCTCACATATTTTTCGACAAACAAAACTGATCAGAAATTACAATAAAAGTTTTAAAAAATGAATTAGCTCCTTTAATATGGCTAATTAATAAACTGCCATTTTGACAATATGTTATTAATAAATGTAGAAATTGGTGAAAGTAGTAAAGATACAGAAATAAAAGAAGATGATGATGTACCAATATTAGAAACAGAATTACAATTAGCTGTCCAGGTAATATTCATACCCTTAAACCGGTCTCTAGATCAACATTGAATGAAATAGGTGTTAACATCTTGCTTTTCTGCAATAACTGACACTGTAAACCAGGTATCATTTAATCTTGTGTATTCAGCACTAATTTCTTTCACATTCATTTAATATCAAATCTCTGTTTAAAAATCACAGAATTTGTGCTTGTGTCCAGTTTAAAGCTGACAAATTAATTTTGATAATGTCCAATTTACAAGTATTTAATTTCCTGACCACTAATCATTATTCATCAATAATCAATTGGGTTGTTTATTTTGGAACAGTGATTTACGCTTGTAAATTGGACACTCATTATCAAAATTGAATGTTCAGCTTTGAATTGTGTACAAATTTGATGATTTTTGGTGATTTAAATAAAGATTTGATCTTAAACGAATGCAAAAGAAATTAATGCTAAATACACAAGATTAAATGATACCCAAGTTACAGTGCGGGAATAATCCATACTGTGTGCTATGAGTAAATTTTAGTCGGACAGCTGATTATACCCTACTGTTTTGTTCGATTTCCAAATGTCATAGGATTGTAGTACTTTCAGTGCTATATACTGGACCTTGCTTTTTGCGTGCCATCCAAACAATTTGTTTCTTTTTCTTGCCCTGTCTTCTCTACTGCACCACCAGACCTGGTTTTTAGCGTGCCAGCCAAACAATTTGTTTCTATTTTTTGCCCGGTCCTACATCCTGCATCACTGACAGGGGAGAAACCAGGCTTGAAATCCTTTTTTAAAAAAAAAAACAAAAAAACCCCAGAATCTCCCTGTTCCATTATCAGCCACGGGGATTACTTTGATGTACAAAATTTGGCTTATTATTTCTACTTGATTTCCTTTTTTGGCTAATGTTTTACGGTAGATAAGGTTGTCGGAAAAGAATAATTTGGCAGCATCAACCCAAAGACTATTACATGGCAAAACTTGATGTGTTTTTGTCCATAGATATGATTAATATTTGTCAATTATTACTTCATTGCCATGTTTTTATTACAGGTTTTAACATCCAAGTCCTGTTCTGAAGAAGGTTTAGAAGATGCTACGAACCTGTTATTACAGTTGTCATGGGCAACACCAGCAACACGTAACTCTGTTTTACAGTTATTATTACAAGGTGCTAGGGAGCTGGGTATGACAGTCAGTACACATATCTGGTAAGTTCATTTAAAGATACATTATGGGAGATTAGATAAAGAGCTGACAGTTCTCACTATAATAGTTAGAAACTAGATGATGTAAAGGCAATTTGCTGAACATTTCAGTCAAATTGATCCACTATGAACCAAGATTTTAGCGATTGAATTTTCGGCCTAGCCTCGATCATCATTACTAAAGTCTGTACGATAAAAGACATAGTCTCGATTATCCATTTCATGATTAAATTATGAATGGAAGTCAAACAGGAAAACGGAACCTAATCCAATAACCATCGCAGGCTACTAATGCCGTTGAGAGTTGATTATGGTCTTGATTAATTAATATCTAATTATTACGTATGTCAAATGCTAAATGCCGCTCAAAGAAGACATTTCATGTTTATTGAAAAGGCTACAGAGAATATTGTTTTATTGTAAAATATTGTATTGGTTGCAGGAGTTTATTATCTGAGTTACAACATATGAACAGTAAATTAAAAGATGAAGGAGCAGATGAAGATAGAGATGCTGAACCATTGTCTAGTCAACCTGCTAAAGGTGTTCTTGTTGATAGGTAAGTAATACATGTTTCAATCTATACACAGGACTTTATCGACCACTGATTAGCCAAAGGGATTTGCATTCAATCTAATTTTCATCTTAAATGTCCATCTAATTCAAATTGATTACCCATATCAATGAATTTATTGACAGATTTCCGAAGCGATTACCACACATCGCCAAATTATCTCTATGTGAGATTTGATCCAGGTGATCACGTGGGGTTTTTTTTTTGGTTTTTTTTTTTTTATGTCCAGCTACAAGAATTGTTTACAGCTAATCGGAACATTTAACGAACTCGCCAAAGTAATTTGAAATCAACTATACTGTCACATGACATCTCCACTAAATTCAAATCGATTTTGGCGAGTCGATAAAAAAAGCCCCAAGTAGTCTTTATTACTGCTCAACGTTTTGTCTAGACTTATTTAGTCTTATATCTTGATAAAGACTTCGAGAAGTCTAGTTAAAATATCACTCAGTAATAAACTGTAATCATATTTCATCAAATTGTACCATGTGTGTTTTCTGTTTAATTACTAAATGATTTTGGATTATTTAAGCTTCTGTTAATTAAGCAATACACATATGTATGTTCTGAAAGAAACTCAGAGCAGTAGGAACAGAATAGCCTAAAATCTAATGAGTGAAGTTTAGTATGATTTTCTTTCTTTTTTTTTTTCCTAGATTTGCACCCAGTAACAATATCATAGTGGCTGCACCAGCTAAATTTAAGACTGGGCGAGAATTACAACTTCCGTCCATGTCACAGTTAACCAGTAAAGTATCCAGTCAGCAGTTCTTTCTACGTGTATTAAAGGTTATAATACAACTTAGAGAAGCTGCTCGAATAGCTGCTAAGAATGCTCAAAAACAAGGTATGTTTAATAGTTCTGATTTATATCAACCACAGCCTCCTTACTGATAATGGTTATACATTATTTTTGTAGCAATGAACACCACCACCTGAACAAAATGTAACCATTTTTCGTCCCATCTTTTAATAGAATTTTTATACGCCCACATTTTCATGTAGACATATATTGTTGTTGCCGCTGTCCATCCATCTCTCTGTCCACAATTTGTTTGTTGACACCCTACAGGCCACAATTCTTATCCGATTTTGACTAAACTTGAAATATAGGCTTATCTCCAAAAGATCTTAGTTCCTTTCAATATTCCCATATATTGGATCGAAACTTTATGGATTATGGCCCCTGATGGTACGAAAAATCATGTTTTTAACTTGGGGACACTCTAGAGGTCAGTTTTCATCTGATTTTGATGAAACTTCAAATGTATGATTATAATCTAAAGATCTTGGTTCCTTGCGATATTTGCAAATATCGGACTGTAACATCATGGATTGTACGAAAAACATGGTTTTTTTGCTTGTGGATCCTCTAGATGTCAGAATTTTTATCCGATTGTAAAAAACGTTTAAATGTATCACCATTACACTGGAATGACGCTTCAGTGTGAATTTTGATGAAACTTAAAACTTACCTTTATATACCAAACATCTCAGTCAATTTCGATATTCACACATTTCATACCATAACTTCCTGGATTTTTTTTTTTTTTTTTTTTTAAACTTGTTCTCTATGCATCGCTTGCAAAACGTGGGTGTATCTTGCCTAGCAACTGCTGGATTCTATCGCCTCCATATTGTTTCTCTGTATAAAATATGATTGGTTTTTGACATACAGCTACAAGTTGTGATGGCAGATGAACAAATATAAATTTTGTACACACATCAACCTATTTAGTGGTTGTGAATTTTGCTAAATAGACATTTCTGAGATTTAATAGTGATTATTGTGTTCCCATAGAAAAAGTATTGACTTGGTTTTTGGTATACAAGAGTGTAATTTTGTTTGATTTAACAAGCATTTACTGGTTGTTTATTTCAAGGTACGCGTGATAGATTAAGTATGGCTGAAGCTATGGCTGCATTAGAAGCTCAGGATGATAGTGGCATGGAAGCGTTTGGTTTACCATCAACCAGTCAATCAGCTAGTATATCAACTAATTCATCGAGTACCGATACTACTCCTTCTACTACAGCTACACAGTCAGTAGAACAAAATACAGAAACACCCATGGATGTTGATCAAGCAGGTAGGAAATAGACTTTTACACTTCTTGCATATATTATTAATACTTTGTTGGATGGCCAAATGGTTAGCATGTGCATGGTATATCATAAGGTCTGTCATTGAGTCAATGGGCATGGTTTCGATTTCTAGGTTGTACGTGACAAAGAGTAGGGCTGCCTGTCAACCCTGTGGGTTTCCTCCCACTGCTGAAGACACAAGCGAATTATTGAAATAAAATTGAACCATGTGTTAGTCCCAAAATGACCTATTAATTGTATGTAAAACTGTGTTTTATTTTATTTTTTTTAGGACCATCGCAAGATAAGAGTAAAGAGAAGAAAGTAGAAGAGAAGAGCTGTGTATTACCACGTCTAAGTGAACAGTTACAACTAGAAGATTTGTGGCATATGTTGGGAGATTGTTTAACAGAATTAGCTAAAACACCAGATCAACATGCAGTATTAATACTACAACCTGCTGTAGAAGCTTTCTTTATTGTTCATGCTGGTAAAATATCTCTTATATTCTGTCATGTACTGTTTGTAAAATGGGCAGAAAGTGTCCTCATGGTCTGTGAGAATCTTTGCCATGGTAAAATCAGTTGTGACCAGAAAAGAATTGGCATGCACATAAAAAAAAAAAAACTTTGCAATTTGAAATTAAAATAAGAGTAGGCCTAACCTCATAGCACACTGCATTGCATATGCCTGTCTTCATTATCTCAATTGGTGAAGAAAATTTGGGCAGGCTGTGTCCTCATGGTTTGTTAGAATCTTTGCTATGGTAAAATCAGTTGTGACCAGAAAGAATTGGCATGCACATAAAAAAAACCTTTAGCAGTTGAAATTAAAATAAGAGTAGGCCTAAGCACTGCTGTCTGGACAAAATTTATCTCATAGCACACAGTATTGCATATGCCCGTCTTTATTATCCAAGTTGGTGCAGAAAATTTTGAAGTTAAACCTGATTTTGTTTCATTTCTCTTATGCATCACTGAATCACAAGGTAACAGTTAATTAGAGTCAGGATATTTCTGTGATGTTTACGTTCTTTGTATTAAACTTTCAGGTGAAAAAGATTTGAAACCTACAGATACTAATGCACCTAAACGAGAGGATCAAATGGCTCATCTTAATCTAGAGATGGCACCACCATCACCTTCTCCTGGTCTTCCTGCAGAGGAAACACTTCTACTCTCCCGTGAAAATTCTGTTGCTTCAGTTTCGTCTATTATTCATCTACCTCCTGATACACAGAAATTCCTTAAATTTGCAGGTAATAAAATATGCCCCAAAGAATTCTTATTATTTGCCTGTTTCCCAACCTGGAGCCAAAGGGATCCGGGATACTGTAATATTGCTCACAGGAAAGAAAGGGGCCATGAAAAAATGATAGCCCAAGTAAAATTCGTTATGGCCTTGTTATTTGATCATTGAATTTCAGTAGTCTACATATATAGGAGTCCTATCATCTTGCTATGAGTTGATGTATTGCGTCATTGATCAGTTGGATTGTTCAGATTAAGATGGCCTAGGTTAGGATTTATGTGAAAAGTGGTGGCACGTGGCCAAAGTCCTAATTCCCCCTATGTAGAAAATCTGACTGAAAAATATTTCAAGGTGTCCATGATTGGTAGATTTTTGTGAAAATAAGAGAATATTATATTATGTTTACTATTTTCTATAAGTCTGTTTCATAAAATGTTTTATTCTAGAAACACACCGAACAGTTTTAAATCAGATATTACGACAATCAACAACACCATTAGCTGAAGGACCTTTCTCTGTACTGGTAGATCATACTAGAATTCTTGATTTTGATGTAAAACGAAGATATTTCCGACAGGAACTAGAACAACATGATGAGGGTTTAAGACGTGAAGATTTACCAGTCCACGTGAGAAGAGAACACGTGTTCGAAGATTCGTTCCGGGAATTATTCCGTCGTACACCAGAAGAATGGAAACAACGATTCTATATTGTCTTTGAAGGTAATTTATTGTTTAGTAAAACCGAGGAACATGCTTTCTCTAAGGTTAAAATGGCTAACATGCACTGAAGTTGGGGCTGAAAAAATATAGCCGTTTTACCAGACTAAATGTCAAACACTTGTGAAGTTGTACATGATATTTATTTAACTTTGTGTCGGAAATATGTTAAGCATAAACACTGATGAAAACCAATATGAACCAGGCAAAGAGATTGTAATTGACAGTCTTCATCGGTACAACCTACCTGTTATCACTGGCCTGATAAAGGTAGAAAGTGCTATCCACCTCTGCTGTATGACGAATTGGAACTACTTTTAAGTTCCCTGCTTAAAAATGGTGGCGCCTGTAGAGAGTGTTTTATGTCAAGAAACTGTATATTGTATATGTATTTTCAAATTCATCCAGTTTTCTTTAAACAAAGGACAACTTTGTAGTGAAAACTCTACAGTCTTCCTCCCACTGCTAAAAACCCCTACGCGCAAGTGAATTATTGAAATAAAATTGAACCATATATTAGTGCCTAAAGGTCCTGGTTTGTGTCAGGTGGATGTTAAACCCCATTTCTCACTCTCGGTCCCCATATAGTATTATTGTACTTGTTATACCTTATGTAACTTCCAGTGTGTGTAAACTATTATATTACAATTAAACATGTTTATTTCAGGTGAAGAAGGCCAGGATGCAGGTGGTTTATTAAGAGAATGGTACCTGATTATCTCGAGAGAAATATTTAATCCTAATTATGCTTTATTCCGTACATCACCTGGTGACCGAGTTACCTATACTATCAACCCGTCATCACACTGTAACTCGAATCATCTCAGCTATTTTAAATTTGTTGGACGTATTATAGCTAAAGCTGTGTATGATAATAAACTATTAGAATGTTATTTTACCAGGTCATTCTATAAACATTTATTAGGATTAGCTGTCAAGTAAGTTCAATTACAATTTATTTTCAATACTAATGTAACCATTAAGGAAATTGCTAACTTACTTTGACAGATCTAAAAAGAGGGTGTAACTGAAAATCAGATGATATAATTAAATAACTTTATATAAAAGATGTTACAGGAAATAATTATCCATTCAATCTGTTATTAGTCGTTAGTAAAACACTTAAAATGTAACAACAAAACAAGTCACTTCCTAGAAACTTTCTCTTGTAACAGTGTTTGCCAGGAGCATTCGTTTTTACTTTTGCTAGTTAGGAATTTCTTGGTTTTGATAATTTTAATGTTTTCAATTAATTGACCCAGTTTTTCTTCCACAAAAATGTTGATGGAATTTTCTTAGTATTTAGTTTATGATGACTACTGGATTAGTTCTGTTCTTGAACCACTTGATATATTTTTGCCTAGTTATGTCATCTTTACAGTCATTTTTTTCCTTGATTATTAATTGTAATTGTGTATTTGTAGATATACAGATATGGAGAGTGAAGATTATTCGTTTTATCAAGGTTTAGTTTTCTTGATAGACAATAGTGTTCATGATCTTGGATATGAGTTAACATTTAATACTGAGGTAAGAATTAATTTAAATATATTGGGGACCATGTGGGTAAGGCGCTGGCTCGCTAGCCTGGAGGTCGGGTGTTCGATCCCTGCATTGGCCGAGAAAGTTCATCCAGATTTTCCGGCGTGGTTCCCCCTTGTCAGTGATGCAGGATGGAGGGCCTGAAAAGGACAGCTGTCTAGTCCTTCGGATGAGACGGAAAACCGAGGTCCCATGTATACATTGGAATGCATGTAAAAGATCCCTTGGCAGTTGGAATTCGATATAAGAGTAGGCAATAGTGCCGCTGCCCGGGCAAAATTTCCCTCATAGCACACTGTATGGCGTATGCCCGTCTTCATTAGCCCAGGTTAGGAGCAGAACAGTAGGACGTTAAACCACATTCCATTCCATTCCTTTAAATATATCACGCTTTTGTTGGACTTGCCTTTCCATCATGACTGGCTCTACTGGCAAGTTTCTTCAGAAACATTTGTCTACCATTTTTGAAACTTTTCAAACATGGTTTCCTCTTGTCATTTAGATGGGTGAAAAAAAAGCCAATGGCCTGTGTACACCTTGGCATGCATGTAAAAGAACCCTTTACGATGGAATTAAATTGTTCGGTCAAAAATTCCCTCTTTATTAGCCGTAAAGTAAAGTAGGCTTACACCCCATGTCTTCCATTCTAAACAAATACAAACATCTTAATAAAATAATAATGGATTTGTATAGCGCCTCGTATCCTAAAGTTTGCTCACTAGCGCTGAGTTAGTCTGTCACATTTATGACTGTTTCTCATCATTAATACTGAATAGGTGTGTTTTTAGCAAGGATTTGAATGTACACAATGATTTTGCATCCTTCATATGTGATGGTAGCCTGTTCCACAGTTTAGGAGCAGCAACAGAAAAGCTGCAGTCTCCACATTTCACGTAATTTGATCTCGGAATTTCCAATTGAATTTTGTTTGAATTTATGTATTTTTATGTTATTTCGTTTGAATTTTAGATTCAGGAATTTGGTGTGACAGAATCTCGTGATTTAAAACCAAATGGTAGAAATATTCCTGTAACAGATGAAAACAAGAGAGAATATGTGAAACTAGTCTGTCAGATGAGAATGACTGCTGATATCAGAAAACAACTAAATGCTTTCTTAGAAGGATTTTATGATATTATACCCAAGAAACTAGTATCTATATTTACCGAACAAGAGATTGAGTTATTGATATCTGGTCTACCTACTATTGATATAGATGATCTAAAATCTAATTCAGAATATCATAAATATCAGGCAACATCACTACAGGTAAAATTGATTGATTTTTAACCTTTTAACACCTGGGGAGTAGGATGGCGGAATGGTTAGCGTATGTGCACAGTATAATAAGGTCTGTAATTGAGTTAACTGGCGTGGTTTTGATTCCCCGGTTAAACGTGACAAGGAGTAGGGTCGTCTGTCCAACCTTCTTGGTTTTCTGCGGTTTCCTCCCCTATGCGCTAGCGAATTATTGAAATATTGTTAGTCTCAAGTCTCTCTACATTTAACACCTGGTGTTTCTCCGTTTGTACCTGACAAGGAGTAGGGTCGCCTGTTCAACGTCATAGATTTTCTCCAGTTTCTCTAACTTCCTCCATCTGCTAAAGACCCCTACACACAAGCTAATTATTGAAATAAAATTGAACCATATGGTAGTCCCAAAATTACCTAGTTTGTTTTAAGTGTGTGTGTTAAACCCCATTATTCTCTCTAAATATCTTGTAGATGATTTTTCTCTCTGCTTTTATGTAAATATTGACTAACCCAGATTCCAGAAAAATGATAGAAAAGTGAACTTTGTTGACATTCAGTTTTCCCAAATTACTCCTTACTAGACTGCCCGAGTCACAGAACTATTACATGGTCCTAAAATAGTTCACAGCTATTCATGCGACTCCTGTGGGTTGAGGCTCTAAATAGAACAGTAATTTCTGACGGTTCAAGTGCTAAGGTCTGTCATTGAGTCAAGTGGCATGATTTCGATTCCCTTCTTTTAAGTGACACGTAGTAGTGTCGCCTGTCCAACCTTGTAGGTTTAATCCAGGTGCTTTGGTTTCCTCCCACTGCTAAAGACCCCCACCCCCAACGCGCAAGCGAACCATATGTTAATCGAATTTGTGGTAAGGTACATTTAAAAGTTGGATTTCTGTCCTCCTCCACTTCAAAGCGTATTTTAATTTTATTCACCGAGGCTTGTACATGTCTTTGTCTCCGAAGTAGAAATGTTAAACATGTGAAATGTTATTACTTTCTCTGTGTAATCTGGCAAACGATTAAAGTTGCTGGTTTGGTAAGATATTTAAAGCTCTGTTGTTCAAAATGCCATGTTACAAATTCCCTTAATTGATATTTTTTCAGATTCAGTGGTTCTGGAGAGCATTAAGGTCTTTCGATCAAGCTGAGCGTGCCAACTTTTTACAATTTGTCACTGGAACATCAAAAGTTCCACTACAGGGTTTTGCTTTCTTGGAAGGTATGAATGGAATCCAGAAATTCCAGATCCATCGAGATGATAGATCTACAGATAGATTACCAACAGCACATACATGGTTAGTATTGTAGGGTATACGATCAATAGAACTGGATAACAAAGATGCAACTTGATCATCTACAACTGGTGGCATTGATTTTTGAGCGAACAGGGAATTTATATCTTGACTAGAATGTCCCAAGTTGTTCAAATCTTTTGGAATTTTTTTTAAGCCTGGCCCTCACTTGAAGACAGAGGCCCATACATTAAAGAACCTTTTTTACTTGTAAATCGAAAAATGTATTTGTCTAAAAGTTTAGTGTTGACTAGACATTTATACCCTGTTTCAATCACCATCAATACTTCTTCCAGCGTGGTTGGGTGGACTAATGTGTTTGCCATAAATCACAAGGTCTGTCATTAAGTCATCTGGCTTGGTTTCACTTTCCAGCTTGTACACGCCAAAGACTAGGGTCCATCTGTCCAACCTCGTGGGTTTTCTCAGGGTTCTCCCGTTTCCTCCCTCTGCTAAAGACCTCTGTGCACCAATATGATTAAAACACAGATTCTATTTCGTTCCGTTTCTTATAGTTCAAAATTCTGTTTTACTTGTCTTTACTACACTAGGATCTGGAAGATTTGTTATATAACCCGTGTTTTGGCTTATTACGGTGAGTTTTGGGCTTGAGGTGCACGGAACTTTGGGTAAACCGCCAGAAACATCAACGCTGATTGATTAATCAATGTCTGACATCATAGGGTCAAAAGCCGCTCGCGTGACGCCTGACACAACCTCCCACTACAACTGGACAGATCTTCATGTAGTAGAGGCCATCGAAAGTATATATATATATATATATATATAAAAAAATGAAATATATGTATTTTAATCAGATTTCCTACATTCAAGCAAATTATTGAAATAAAATTAAATGGACTTTAAACCCCATCTCTCTCTCTATCTCACTTCTTTCAACACTCTGCTTACCTTCACAATGTACTGTATTCATAATAGTTGTATATTATAAAATGCTATTTTTTTCTTTCTTACAGTTTTAATCAGTTGGATCTACCAGCCTATGAAACCTATGATAAATTACGTCATATGTTGTTATTAGCTGTTATGGAATGTTCAGAAGGATTCGGTCTTGCCTAAAAACTAAAACAGCAAAAAAAAAAAAAAATGTGATATGATTACTCAAAAAACATTTATGTACTCGATAGCCATTATTTATTTATTTTTAGTGCTTATTTACAAATGTCGATGAAATTCTTCAACATTGGAAGAGTTGAATTCATTTAATTTTCTTATAAAGAAAACAAACTGATGTTAGGAAACTATATACTGAACATAAGATAAATGTATGAACAATATGATAGTGTTTAATGAGCTAGTGTTTTTATATAAATCTATTACAGCGCCTAATTTCGTATTTACTGCTGCTTTGCTTTCATACTTTATATATATGAATATGCACTTGAAATGCTATGAATGCTTTAAGTCAAGAGTTGCCCAAAAGAAACTGGATTTTTTTCTTTTTTAAAAAGCAGTTGTTGAACATGCCAGACTTGTCATAAGACAACTTCCCAGATATCCTGAATAAAAATATTGTTTTAAAAAAAGAAAGATAACTTCCGGATAAGTCTAATTTAGTCCTAATAACAAAAAGTAAACATTGGACCTTGTAAATTGATCAGATTATGAGATTATAAGGATTCACATAAATATTAAGTTTGGTTTCGTAATAATCTTCATTTGAATATATTTAGAATTATTATTGACAATACACAAAGTGTGAACATTGGCTGGGGACTACCCTGACTTCATCAAAATATCCATTAATAGTTTACATTCGAAATAGATGCTTATTAAACCTTGTTAAAAATATCCATGGGTTTCACAGTCGGATCACACAGATGATGAACTATCATTAAATTGATTGAACCTCCACTTTTAAACAAAAGCATGTAAAGTTGAATGTAAATATTTTGATGTCTTGCCCAGATGATCTTGGTGAGAGTTTGTTGTGTTGGTGTTTTTGTAAATATTAAAGAGTGATTCTGTAGTTCTATTTGACTTAGAATTTGTGTTATTTTTGTTTAATTAAAAGATTTGTTTGCAATATTTGTTAATATTTATTTATAAGATAGCAATTTGAACATCAATAGTCATCTAAAAGTTGATATATTATCACCCCGATATAATAAAAAAATATCACTAAATCCCATCTTATATTAAATATCCTACAATAAAGGATGTCAAATTGTGAATTTGATACTTTATTGGTTATTAAAGATGCATTATGTAAGTTAAAGAGCTAGATAGATAATGAAAAATGAGTATATTAAAAATTTCAAATAACTTTATTCTGAGCAAAGTTATAAATGGTTGAAGTTGTGACAAGAAATAGCGTAAACCGTCAAGTACCATTGCTAGGATAATAAACAAAGTCTCTATTTTAAAGTTTAATCCACTCAATATCTCGGCCATCCGATATTGTAGAGAGTTGATTATAGGCTTGTCATGTGAATAAATGTCTAAATGATAATTTAAATATCATTTTAAGCCCGAAAAAAGACATGCAATAGGCATAGACTCTATCTGGGAGGTTCTGGGTGACCGAGACTACAATAGAAAGATTTAGCTCTTGCATAATACATCCTTAACAGTTGTACATCAACTCAATATAATAGGAAAACGTCACTAAATCCATCACAAAGAGTTAATATCCTAAGATGTAGGATAACAGATGTGAATTTGAAACTTGTTATTATTTTGTTGGTTTTTTTTCTCTTTGAGTTTTGGGTTGCATTATGTATAATATTTCGAGATTTTGTTGTTAAAGTAAGGGTCTCTATTTATAAATATATTTGTTGTAAATATATGTAAATGTAATTAATACAAGATTCTTGTCAATTTGCTTAATAGATTTTTTTTTTGTTGTTTGCCCTACTTGTGTTTGTGAAAAGGACAAATAAAGATTGTACAAAGTCACCAAATTATAGATATATATTGCTATATGTACAGTTTTCTCTGCCAACTTATTCTACAAAGTATTATATATACTAGAAGATGGTATTTAAAGATTTATAATGATTCAAGAAACTGTTTAACACATTGTATGTACATTTCTCTGATGTTTAATAAAGTTCTCATAATTCTACAACAAATTTTTCTTTTCTTTAATGGTGTGAGCCACCATGGTGGCTATGTGGGTGAAATGCTGGCTTGCTAGCCTGGAGGTTGCATGTTCGATCCCTGCATTGGCCGAGAAAGTTCATAAGGATTTTCAGGCATGGTTGTCCCCCTTGTCAGTGGTGCAGAACGGATGGCCTGACAAGGACAGCTGTCTAGTCTTCTAGTGGATTGGACAAAAAAAACGAGGTCCCGTGTATACATTGACGTGCACGTAAAATATCCCTTGGCAGTTGGAATTTGATATAAGAGTAGGCCATAGTGCCCCTGCCCGGGAAAAATTTCTCTCCGAGCACACTGTATGGCATTTGCCCGTCTTCACTAGCCCAGCCGAAGCAGAACAGTAGGACTTGAACCCCATTTCATTTCAATTTCTTCAATGATGTGGTCTTACTGTTTTCTACAATATCGGTATGTACTGTTGTATGCATTGTTTATATAACGTAAACCACAGTGGCTCAGTGAAACCAGATCCTGGATTTTATCCCAGTGTTGGCCAAGAAAGTTGAAATTTGAAGTGCAGGTGGAAATGCTGTTGACCGACTAAAATTTCCTTCATAGCACACTTCATTTTCCCAGTTGGTGCAAAACATGTACGATTGTACCATGTTGAATGAAATTCAAAAATTTAATTCACTAGTTGTTCAAGGAACAAGTATGCCAATTTTCATGTTGATCCGACTTGAATTGACGAAGCCTTAGGTGTTTTAGAAGAGCGTCACCCCATGAACAAGAAGACGAGTTCCCTGTTCGCGACCATTTCCTGGTCCAAAAAGTAGGCCGGTATTCCCAATTATATTTCTGATTATATAAGTAAGAAATATGCTCCTATTCAGTATAGGGTTAATGTTTAATTATCAGCCAATAATACATCTACAGTAGATATCGCTTGTGTGATAAATTTCATAATCTACTGCGATATCTGATATCGCTTTACATGAATTTGATTGGCCAGTTAAAAAAGAACTACTTTTTTGTATTTTCAAAGAACAGACATTTTTATACGCCCTCATTTTCATGTGGACGTATATTGTCGTCGCCCCTGTCCGTCCGTCCGTCCGTCCACAATTGTTTGTGAACAGTCTACAGGTCACAATTTTTATCCTATTTCAATGAAACTTGAAATATAGGGTTAACACCCTAAAATCTCGGTTCCTTTCGATATTGGCATGTGTTGGACCATAACTTCATGGATTGTGGTCCCTGATTGCACGAAAAATCACGTTTTTAGCTTGTGAACACTGTAGAGGTCACAATTTTTATCCGATTTGGTTTAAACTTGAAATGTATGCTTATAACCCAAAGATCTCTGTTCCTTTCGACATTCGCGCATATCCGACCGTAACTTCTTGAACTATGGCCCCTGATTGTACGAAAAATCGCGTTTTTAGCTTGTGGATCCTATAGAGGTCATAATTTTTATCCGATTTAAAAAAAAACGTATTATTATATCACCGTTACACCCTAAGGACGACTGAGTTCGAATTTCGTGAAAATCGGGCCAAAACTGACAGACAAAAATGGCCGCCGTTTGTTCTCACATAGCGTAAAAATATGATATATCAAGGTTGTGGACCCTATAATGGTCACAATTTTTATCCGATTTTGTTGACGGCTGAGTTCGAATTTCGTTAAAATCTGGCCAAAACTGACAGACAAAATGGCCGCCGTTCGTTTTCAAATAGCGTAAAAATATGGTATATCAAGGTTGTGGGCCCTATAGAGGTCACAATTTTTATCCGATTTTGTTAAAACTTGAAATATAAGTTTATATCCCAAAGATCTCGGTTCTTTTCGATATTCGCGCATATCGGACCGTAACTTCCTGAATTATGGCCCTTGATTGTACGAAAAATCGCGTTTTTAGCTTGTGGACCCTATAGAGGTCATAATTTTTATCCGATTTAAAAAAAACGTATTATTATATCACCGTTACACCCTAAGGACGACTGAGTTCGAATTTCGTGAAAATCGGGCCAAAACTGACAGACAAAATGGCCGCCGTTTGTTCTCAAATAGCGTAAAAATATGGTATATCAAGGTTGTGGACCCTATAGAGGTCACAATTTTTATCCGATTTTGTTGACGGCTGAGTTCGAATTTTGTTAAAATCGGGCCAAAACTGACAGACAAAATGGCCGCCGTTCGTTCTCAAATAGCGTAAAATTATGGTATATCAAGGTTGTGGACCCTATAGAGGTCACAATTTTTAGTAACTCCTTTTTTTTTTTTTTATTAAAAATGAATTATTTTTATTTAATTGACTGATGGAAACAGCGTGTCAATTTAAAGGATTTTGCAATGGTTGAATTGCTGTCAAAAAATAATGTATCACTTCTCCATAATGTAATCAGGTTCAGTAAAAGTGAAGTCTATAGCAAAGAATTATATTTATTTATTTGTGCACGTAAGAAAGAATTGGGTGATAAATAAAATCTCCTACTCGTCTTTTTTGATATCAAAAAATACTCGTAGGAGATTCTCTATACACCTACATTTCATGTAGGCCTATGAGATGTAGTACCATGGGTTGGCTGTCAGACGTGGAAAGCGACCATACACTCAAATCCGGTCGCCACGTGCTTGATCATAGTATTGTCTCATCCTCGGTTTCCCCAGTTGTCTCATCCCGTTCTACTCCACTATACCCAAGGTTAATCCATAGGGTTTCTACGACTTCAAATTATCTGCCCTGGTCTAGATTGTAGCTAGAGTCTAAGAACCAATCAGAAAACAGTTTACAAACCAATCGTTTCGCCTTCGATTTTTTTTAAGGGTAGATAACCATATTCATGTCCATTTACTCAATGATTTATGTAAATAATGTATATATTTCTAATTTATTTATATTTAATTGTATTATCAAAATCTGTTGTATGTATTGTTGATTTCAAATATGTATAACATCTATATGTTTGACTTCTGTTATTATTATTACTATTCGTTCTTTGTCTGAAATATGTCATTCTGTTATGTTTATTATTATTGAACTTATACTTGGCAATTTGATTCACACTAACTGTCTACGATATCACTTGGACCTAAAATTCCGGGAACGAACGAACAATTCTCAATAAAACTAATGATCCTACATTATTATATGAACGTCTGGTCTTGTTTAACATAATATATACATGTAATTGGTTGCTAATAATTACGCGTATAGAATAGGCCAACTCGTATGAGAGTTACTTCCCTTTGCCAATTTCCTTTTTTAATAACAATTTATGGGATTGGTCGATTAAAATAGTGCAGTCATCAAGGGCGGATAACTTGAAAACGTGTCCACCCCATAGATTAACCCAGGGGTTAGTGGAGTAGAACGGAATGAAACCCCTGGGGATACCGAGGAAGAGTATTGTCTCTGGTTTAATTGATCTATTTATCGCTTTCTTGGTTAGGATCCTTTAAATGTTTCTTTAGCATCTCACGTTGTGTATATCATTTTATCTCCACCGTTAAGAGGTTTCTTTAAACGACACTTGCAACCCACGTTATCAGTCCCAACATATAGTATGATTAACAAACAAGATAACAGGAACAAAAGTACGGTTTCTATAGTTTTATATCATGCGGGATACATATTATACAAGCATATATTAAAAATAAAGTCATTCTCTCTATCTTTCAATCACACCAAACTCGCTAGTACAAGTTGGCTGATAGAACCTGCTACATCCCCTCTAGATTAACATGGTGATCTCCAATCGCACACTTCCCAAGTGTTTTTATCTGCCTTGACTTTTGCTATCTATTTTTAATTGGTCAAATATTAAGTAATTAATTATGGTGATTAGTTACTAAGCCTAATGTCCACAGGACTAAGCTCAATATGGAATGGAATATTTCACACATGAGTGTAATAAACAATGGAATTTATCCTTGGCCTTAGACCCCAGTGTCCTGTTATTGTCACAATATTTCATAAACAATTTAATTTGCGTTTTAAAATAAACTCATACCATAATATACTAACAACGGAGAAGACAAATAAAACATGTATTTATCAAATTATAAATCATACCCCCTGGTACACTTATATTCGCCTAATGAAATTTCGCATAAATTACCCCCCAAAATAGTATTACAGATAAGAGTATAGTATAATGTGAAGTTTATGAGCGAGACATTAAATAGCCAAGTCTCTAACTGAATATTATCCAAAGTCTTCGACATTGAAAACACGAATTATTTGTCAATTTAAATCAACATTGATGTGGTGATATTACCGGGAAAAGATGGGCTTCTGATATTCAATATTTAAGACAAAATAAACATTTTACCATTGGTACACGAATCATGTACGTTTACAGCATCAGAAATTCTTTTTGAATTTGAGATTTGGCAGATTTTGGGTATCGCATTCTTGGGGACCCACAGTTGACATCTTCTCGTGGGCTGTCCTTTGAACAGACCAAGGAGGAAATGCTTATCGAGTCAGATCGCATCAATTTTGTCTGCATATATGTGTGGAGTAATTGCAACTCGTTGTAAAGGAAAAACGTTCTTTTGGGGCTATGACCAAGCTCAAAAACAGTTCCCCAAAGAGACACTGTTTATGTCAATGATGTGAAGAATCATGTCGACTTTCAACTACTTTTGACAAGTATAGAACCTACAGTTAATTAAGCAGAATAATCGCCTGGACATTTTTTTGCTGTGAAGTAAAGGGGAGAGAGAGAGAGAAATGAGGTTTAACGTCCACTTGACACAAAGTAACACATGGTTCAATTTTATTTCAATAATTCGCTTGCGCGCAGGGGTCTTTAGCAGTGGGAGCAAACCGGAGGACCCGGAGAAAACCCATGAGGTTGGACAGGCGATCCTACTCCTTGTCACGTACAACCGGGGATTCGAAACCCCGCCGGTTGACTCAATGACAGACCCTATGATACAGCGCAGCGCGTACGTGCTAACCATTCGGCCATCCACCCCCCGGAAGTAAAAGAAAATCGGGGCGAAGGAAGCGTAAGACGA